AATTTATATGTCTGGCTTCTGCACGAATGGTATTGTTATTAAGTAACTCAGTCCTGTCTGCTAGCACGTGGTCGGGTCATCGGCATATGAACTCTTTCAACCCGTCAGGTCTCTCCCGATGTAGAGGAGGGCCATGACCTTCAGCAGGAATAAAAACAGCAACAACAAAAAACCAAAACTGTCGATGGGCGAATGGACCTTCTTGTAGTGTCAGCGGCCATCTAACACAATGGGGCCAACAAAGCTACGGTAGAGTCGAAATCGTGTCCTTAGCGAGTTGGAGGAGCCCATCCCTCTCCGGCTCCAACCGCAGCCGACGTCCACCAACCTGAAGGCTCGCCTTGGTCATTGCGGCTGATTCCGTCGTAGGAAACCTTTCTCCCTGGCCGTTGACTTCAATCTAGGAAGCTCTCCACCCAGCGACGATACCGTGTCTATCACCGCCATGGCTACACCAATAGAGTGGATTAAGTAACAAAAATTAAAAGTCCGATATCTTAAAAAATATGAGTCCAATTTTTCTGAAATTTTTACTAAATGTAGACAAATGGCAGTTCAGCTGTGTGTAAAATCTGTAAGTTATTTGGAATAATACAGAGAGAGAGAGAAAGAGAGAGAGAGAGAGAGAGAGCTGTGGATCATTTCATTCTTTGCCGAAATATCAAGAGTGCAATATTAAGGAACAAATCGAGAAATATGTGAGAATAATGCAAATAATCCGAATTTCTGATAAGCGAGGTCCGGATAAAGATGGTTTGTCATCACGACGTCATTTTCCAAGATGGCGAACCGACGAAAAGTTGACAAGTCTCGAAGAGCTGATATTGTCAGGAAAATCACGCAATTGACCAGACTGCTGAACAGGTAATGCGTTCCAAAAGCGTTGTGAGCCGAATTCTGAAACTCTACGAAGACACTGGTCGCTTCAATCAGTTATGTGCCATGCGTGATACACGCTTAGGCGATCATGTATCTTTCGATACACGACTAACGAGGCAGATTTTTTCCCGCAGTAGGTTGGCATTTCTTTCAGCAGTAGACCAGTTGCCATCCAAGGTTATTAAACTCGATCTGTTCTGCTAATTTACTCATAGCTGGTGGGAGAAGAAGAGAAATCATACCTTTCCCAAGGGCATTAGCACGTAAGTGAATGCAATGAACTCGACCGGAACTCGAAGTCGGCTCTCCGATTCCTTAATCCGAGCCGCTATCCTTTAATCCCCCGTGCATCCTCTGGTCGCTTAATAATTCCAAACAAGGTGGCTAAACAAAGGTAAAAAATGGCCAGCGAAGACAGAATCTTTCAACGCCTAGCACTGAAAATACTGTTTTCGAACTGCGGCTGGTATTCCACGAGAAATTTGAAATGACATAAATGTGACTCGATAAACTGTGTCTAGATGATTACATGAAATAGGGCTTTTATGGTCGGAGTTCACCGAAGAAGCCGCTCATAAGTAAAAAAAAAGTACAAAGTCAGCAAGACTGGAATTTGCAAAAAAAAATGCAGGTCTTGTGATCAGGAGAATAATGGTCTAGCGTATTTTTTCAGTGATGAAAGCAAATGTATTTGGTTCTGGTGGGAAACAGTATGAAAGAAGACGAATTGGCGAAAGGTTGTGTTCAATATGCACCAAGAAGACAGTCGTATTTGGCAGAGGAGGGTGATGGTTTTTGGCATGTTTTCGAGTCTGGGTACGTCACCTCTTGTACGCTTACATAACAGAGATAAAGCTGCCATGTACAAGAGTTTGTTAGAAGAACATGTACCAATATTACAAATTTCTGGGTTTGAAAATCCTTTGTTTATGCAGGATAATGTTTAAGCGGGTTACTGCTTATCCGAACGACCAAGGAATAAACGTTATACATTGGCCAGCTCAAATTCCTGAAATGGCTTCCATAGAAAACTAGAAAAAATAGGAGACTTTAGGACAAAAATGTCATGGTGAGGAATCCATTAAATGTTGAAGATCTATGCGAAAAATTGCAGGAGAAATGGGCTAAAATTACAGTTGAATGTCAAAATTTAGTGAACTCCTGGGATCGCCGATGTGCAGCAGTGATTCAAATTAAGGGCCTTAGCAGTAAATATTGATAAAACTTTTGTTGTCCAATCATTTTTTCTTAATTAAAAACATTGTTAATTTTGGACACTTGATATTTCAGCAATAAATTAAGTGCTCCATAGCTCTCTCTGTATCATTCCAAATAACACAGATTTAAATTATTATATATATATATATATATATATATATATATATATATATATATAGCGTATATTTTGGAAGCATGTTTTCATTAAGACATGTCTCATTGAATAATTTAGATAAGTTTTGTGTACTTATTTTCAATAGGATCCTCTCAAATTTACTGACGAACTTTTTAGTATCTTTATTTAAGGAAGAGTGATAGTTAAAATGTTGATACAGATTCATTTATTCCGAGTACTTTCGACATTAGCACAATGTCATCATCAGACAAAATTGTTTGTTCATCT